AATACTTCGTGACATTTTTTTTGATCATATTGTTCGGGTATTCACATCAAGCTTTTTTCGGTTGATGTTCCATTGCTTACTGATGCTTGTTTCTACATGGTTTGGATCTTATGAAGACCTATACAGTGACTGAGTTACGCAGTTTGTTGCTGCAATATTTTCTTCATGGAGAGTGTGTCCGTTTTGATGCTCGATCTCAGCACTGTAATTATACTGCTTGTCGTGAAATTGCGGCAGGATTCCATGCATCTTCCGATATGGTTAACTGTATGTTGGATGAGTTGATACAGGCGGATGCTGCTACAATATCAGGTAGTCATCTTTGGACTGTTGCTCAGAGTATTTGTTATGATTTGGACTCTAGGTGGTCCTGAAGAGCGTCGGAGGCGTCAGGCTGTTTGTATATAGAATAGAACCGGGATGGGCCGGAAACCTGATACACGGTGGCAGGTCCCGGTAGCGGGCTTTGCCACTTTAGTTGGCGCATAGTACGCCCCAGTCAAAACCCACGACAGCCTCAGCCATGCTGATCCAGCCCGCTTAGGAAACCTGGCTGAGCGTGGATAATTGAACCATTTTGTGGATATCCATGTATGATTTTACCTCAAATAGGACGACGTGGATAGTTCTGTTTAGACGTGGATGTCATAAAATATAAGACGTGCTTGTATTACACACACAGCTACAATGATATGCAGGAACAACAGCAATGCAGAAATGAGAAGCATAATCATAACAATACAAAGACAGTGATGTGACAATGATGATAATAGAGGTAACAACGATAGCTATGCAGAAGAGAACAGCCTGGGCACAGTCTAGAGTGGCGCCAATACCATCGAGTCCGCTGCCGTTCCTACCTCGCTGCCAGTGATAGTACTAGGCGACGCAACAGTGCAAGCTCTTGCCTGTAGACTAGTCAGTGATGTGAACTGTTGACCATGCATGGCACACTCACTGTTCGCGTGAGCGCAAGCTTATCCTGATACGTCTTTTTCTCGTCCTTGCCGAGCTTTCGCCAATAATTCTCAAATGCTGCATTTGTGCCGCCTGGGTTGGAGGCAACCCAATCAATAGCGCATAGACTCCTGTTTTAAAATGATTGAAATCAGCATAGAGTTCACAGTGAATGGGAGACTTGGACACCTACTTTGCAGTTGTCCTACCATGCACCTCCTTCATTGCATTGGGGTCCTTTTTCTTTGCCACGGTCTTATTAGGTGCTGTCGAGGTGTCTGCATCAAGGTTTGTGACTGCGCTGCACGAGTCGACAGTGGTAGGAGGCAAGGCACTTGCATGGGCAGACACATCTTTGGCTAATATGATGGAGTTTGACAGAAGCTGGATGAAAGTCTCGGAAGTTGGAGGGACAGTGGTCACGTCGTTGATGGCATCATTAACGGTAGCACTTGCCATGTGTGCAATGAGTTCAGCTGTCGATGACAATGCACTCATGCTGCTAGCGCTGGCAGGTAGTGTAGGGGGGAGATTGCACGTGTCTTCCTTTGGTTTAAACAACCCCATTAATGGATTGACAATCTGGCAGTAGTGGATACCGTCTATTAGTATAGGTCAGATAATGAAAGAGAGCTGACTCAGACGTTACCTTTACTGCTCTGGTTGTAATGTTGGGGAGAGCATCGGAAGTTTTGTTGGAGTTGTCACACAGATCATGTCGCAGAACACACCTTGGTTGGATACTAGCCTGCTTCGCAAGGAAATTTACGAGAGCTGTAGATCCAGTCGCAGTCTTGACATGGTCATCTTTTTTCTTCTTCGGTTGTCATGTAGATGGCGAAATGGTAAGGGATTGTGGGCGCTTTGAATTTGTGGGTGCTGCAAGCGACATTTCACGAACATTCTCCTGTTTGATGGTACTTTGAATGGCATTCCCAGGTTCTCTTGGCCTATGTGTCCACTGCAGGTAATGTCGTATTGCAAGTTGGTCGGTTTTCCAGTCAGAGTCACAAAGACGGAAGTGGATAAATTCATTTCACATCGAGAGGCATACAAATTCGAGTGCTTGAATATCGATCTTGGTCCATGAGGTGGGTGCGCGCCCATGCTTGAGTAGAGTAAACCATAGGGTGTGCAATCGGTCACGAATTTTTTGCTGAACAGCCACAGACGCAACGACACCGTCTTCATCGACTAGATAGAGAGCAGACCCAGCATCTTCTGTGCGCTTCACTTTGAGGACTCCACGGCCACCATGATATTCCTTGGTCCACTCGTCCTTGTCCCAATAGTACACACCTTCGTAGTCTTCTCTGTCAAGGGCTGGGATTAAGGTACTTGCCTCACGTGCCATCTTGAGCATCTCATTGAATGAATCTGGGGCCACATTATTGTTGTCGCTGAGTGAGGTGATGCGCTCGAGAAGTTGCCCATACATAGAGCTAAAGAAGAGAACAATCAGCCTGATAAATCACGGTAAAAAAAGTGACTTGCTTTGAAACCTCAAGCTTACCCTCGAGGGATGCAACTTGCTGCTGGAGGGACACAATCTGCTGCTGGAATTTGTCTATCTTCTGCTCAAGATCATACTTATCCTTCTTCAGCAAGGATATTTCACTGCGATCTGTTAATTCATGTCCATAAGCGCCAGCACCCGACCGCTGGCTGTATGCACGTGAAAAATTTGTGTGCAAGCTGGAAGCATGGCGAGAGTCACGAGACAGTGAAGAGGAGCTGTCAATAAAGGAGTTGCCACTGTGAGATGTATCCTGTATAATGTATTACTACTGGTTAGAGGTATTGTCGATTGAAGAAACACAACAATCACTCACACTGGGGTAATACCTATCAAATTCATGTGATGTAGGTCTTCTCCTGCGAGACAAATCTTCGAAGTCATCATATAATCCAGCATGTAGTACCTGGGGTGATGGGAGAAGTGCATCAGGCGTGTCATTGGAAGACCTGTAGGTATCAGGTGTATCATTAGAAGACCTATAGGTATCTTGCTGAAGTTGGTGTGCATCACGGGAATACATTGGGAGACACGTCATATGGTATGGGGCACTGTCGTATGCATGCCCTCCAGGTCTGCTCATTGCGGTGCAGAGCGACCAATTTGTTTACCTTTGTTTTGTGCGTGTCGAAATCTTCTAAGTCCAAGTGCGCTTCAGGAAACCAAAACATGCCTATCATTATGAATTCAAACCTCCCTCCTGCTGTGCAACAATTTTTTGACCTACCATCAGATTCTGATCTTGATGAGTATCTCGACAAAGACATAAGGTAAGTCATTTGGACTTCTGTACCATTACTAACTTCTTGTCTTAATTATGTAGTCTCGACCACTGCACAGACAGTAGTCTCTCTGGCAGTCCTCATCTACATGATTCAGATCTTGTGCTTCTGGACCGTGAATACTGGAATCCATCTCGGCTATACCTTGTCCGCCGTCGCATCTTTGGTCATTCCGAGGAGGTACCTACTCAAAGCAACAAAGAAATTGATTGGGTAGATGACCTGTAGGTACCTTCCTGTTCTTGCTGTTCTATTAATCTTTTGGTTATATTTCACAAGCTTCAGCACACCAAAAAAAGCATCTGGCAAGGCCCCTCCCAGCACTGGCAGCATCACCGAACCCGAATCCAACTGTCCAGACATCCCTCTTACTATTACGACTAAGGCCCCTCCCAGCGCCAGCAGTGTCACTGAACCCGAATCTGACTGTCCAAATACTCCACTTGCTACTACGACTATAACTTCAAAGGCCCCTCCCAGCACTGGCAGCATCACCGAACCCGAATCAGATGACCAACCGGTGTCTCATGTCACAGTAGTGGCTAAACCAGAGTCAGATGGAAGTATCACGGAGCCAGAATCTGACGACATTTCCAGAGTATTACCTACCTCTAAGTCCGCAGCTCGTCTTGACCATCACTGTATATTTGCGACTCCAAGTCCACCACCTGCGGGTTCGCTATACTGGAAATATTTCACTAAGGAGGAAGATGCGAAGATGTATGACCGCTCTGGGACAGATAAGAGTTTTCATGCTGTGCAACAGATGAAGAAAGAATTACAGGCACTTATGGATGCATAGTCCCTTTGTTTTACCAGATGAAATAATCACCATTGTTATTTCCAAGTTCTGACCAAATTTGAACGAGTCAACAAACTAATCACAATGCTTTGAGATCCCCTGCACCACGTCTCTTGCAACTCCCAAACCTTCTCCACGCTGCTCCTCAATATCTCGACATCCACCTGATCACCCTCAAGCAACCCTGCCACTCTCTCAAACTTCCTACCCCATGTTGAGGTCATAATTACGTAGGCTGGTGATCCTCGTCATCCTCATCCCAAAGGATCCCCCCTAGGTTTGCAAGATCCATCCCAGGCTTCTCAAACATGTAGAATCTTTCCTCTCCTGCAAGTGTGTGTGGAACCATTGCAACGACGGACTGTATGGATGGAACCTTAACTACCCTAAGTCCTACTTCCCCATGGTGCGTGCAGGAATAGAATGTGTCACTTGAGTCCCATAAGAGAGCCCGGTCAGGAGGAGAGTAGATGGTGACAAGAGCGAGAGGTTCAAGAGCGTGTACATCAGGGTGAGTTCTGATCTCAAAGAAAAACAGCACTTCGGCAAAGTATAAGGCTCCTGCAATAGAGAGCTACAAGAAACACTGGTGAGAATGTAAGATGGAGCTAAAGACATGCATACCTTTACATTGCGGGCACGTTGAGCATTTGCTCGAGTTTCTCTCCGTGAAAAGACTGAGCAGCATGTTTGTCCATTGGGAAGTCGGAGGCGAGCCCAACGACAAACACGGAAGCACCAATGCGGATCAAAGAAGGCATACTCAGGAGAATGTGGATAGTGTGCATCAAGGAAGGTCTTGATTGTGGAACCCTCAGCAAAAGTGGTAGCATGGCGAGAGCGTTCCTGTAGCTTCAGTAAAGCATACCCATTTCCAAGGTCCTTAGACCACCTCAGAAATAAGGGTTGTCCATAGTCAGGATCGAGAGTTGGGATCATTACCATCAATGAATTGTGTTGAGCTCGACGAATGGCACGCTGTGCAAGGTTAGAGTATGGGTTCGATGGCTGACGAATCTCGCCAACAATGTTCCCAATGGTTCGCTCCATAGTCCACTGTGAAGCACATATGAGTGGGCCTTTGGTTGCGACTTCATTGGCATAATGTCTGAGGGCGTGAATACTTTGCCGTACGAAGTGAATTCGATCTATCCTGCGCTGATAGTAGAGCTGCTCGAATTCCTCAATAAATTCAACAAATAACCTAGCAGCAACCTGAAGCTCCTTGCGTGTGATGTTGTGCTGCGAAATTATGCGGACAGCGCCAACGAGTTTACAGAAATGTTGCCAGTAAAAAAGTGGGAGGACGTTGTGAAGAACCAAAGGACCTATCCCATACAGGAGGAGGGTGTACTCCCATGCCTTGTAGCCACTGTTGATTTTTTCAGCTGGGTTACGAGGTGGGCGGTCAAAGAAACCTGGGAGATGTGGGGTAGTTGCAGTGATGGCCTTGCCAAAATCCTTCCAAACAGTTCCAGTGAGAACTGCCCAGGTCCAGGTAGACTTGTCATCGTCAGTGTCACATTCGAATGTGCCACGCCAAAGTGGGATCAAGAGGTCAGGAATGTTGAGGGAAATGAGGTGCATAATATCAGATCCGAAGCACTTGGGAACGCCAAATGTGTGCTCAGATGAGAAACCAAGGAATATACTTGGTTTTGATATACCAGTATCTAAGCGGCGCTTCTTGTATTGAGCTTCGTTAGGTGACAAAAGCACATACACAAGGTTCTTCCAGTATATATCCGGAGAGCTCGTAGGCAAGTTTCTAATATCAACATCTGGATGGGTGCAGCCTTCAATGTTATAGTTGGGGGGCCTTGTGTGGGCTGGGTAATAGTGTGGGCACCCAGCTTTATGATGCCCTCTGATGCCGCAGTACAACCGACAGCCATTTTTGCCGTGGTGACCAACAAGACCATTGAGATATGCGAGTCCAGGACCATCGGCAGTTCCTAGTGCTAGGAATGGGTGGGAGATAAAAGTCACATCGCGCATCACATCCCACACAGTGAGACCTTCCTTTTGAAGTGCTGCAAGGTGGTGGAATCCAGGGAATAGAAAAGAGTCGAGGTTTTTGGGTTTTCGAGGGCCAGGAATAATGATACCAGGGAGCACATACTTTTTTTTGTACCGTGTTTCGGGAGAACGATCGAATATGACCCATATAGATATCCAGCAGTCAGAGGCTTTGGACTTGTAAAGTTGAGCACCATCGATGGACATCATGAGGACAGTATCATCATCCTTGATCTTGCCTTCTGCGACAGCGTGAATGTAGTCACTGCCATCGATAAAATCACTCCAGGATTTTTTGTGTCCATTCTCATGCTCGAGTTCTTCAAATATCTCATGCATGCGATTAGTGCGATAACGCATCTCTTGTGCGCTCTGTGGATCCCAATATAGTGCCTGTATTTGAGGACCAACAGGGATCGTGACAAATTGTTTGCAGGGGGTTTTGATTTTGCCATTGCTTCGGGTTAGTGTCTCTTGATCGTACCGAGCTTCGCCGCACTCAGGACAGTGTTGAAGACCTGCAAATGGACCTGTAAAGCCGACACATGTATTTATGCACATGTCATGCATCATCTCCTCGACTCCACTGAGCTCAGCGACAGTTTTCTTGATCTGATGGAGCAAGGGAAGCTCAACACCATCATACTCTATATGAGCTGCGCGGGCCTTGACATAATCTTCATCAGAGTGATTGAGTTCAAGATACAAACGGATAGCAAGACGAAGAGCCCTATCATCGTTTAGTGAGAGCTGTTGTTGCGGAGGATTACAAAGCCGTTCAATGGCATCTGGGCTGAGTCCAGTACCCACATCATCGAGGGAAGCATTCTGGAGGGCAAGGATAAATGAGAGTGAGGTGCGGAGGTCTTCTTGCTTGACACTGGCATAGACATCTTCTAACAGTGCTTCTTCGTCAGAGTCCAGAGGCCTTGGCATAACATCGTGGTCTGGTTCGTTCTCGTCAGCATCTTCGACAGTTGGCTGCCTCAAGTTAGTACCATCAGGCTGCAGCAGTCAATATATGAAGATTATTTGAATAGAAACCAACACACCTGTAGCTCGGGGACATAATCATCCATCACTGAATAAAATGAATCTAGACCTTGAACACGACTCGGACCCGGGCTGGGAGAATGCTCATCCAGCGGATCCTCGACTGGGGGAGGTGAGTCTGGCATGCGTTCTTGGCTACGAGAGTGCGAAGGAATTACATATGGCATGTTATCAGGTGTATGGTGTGCATCTGTACCTCCATCCTCAGAAATGAGCCGCTTGAGCTGTGAGAATACTCACCAAGTTGTGTCAGTTGCTGGCGGACTTCCCTTGCTGTGGCCAGCAGATGGTGCGATGATCCTGGCGCAGCAGTTGCAGCCATTTCAACGCGATAATCTTCATGGTTCCTGTAGACACCTCACGTGACTTCGGTGGCGACTCCTCCGCACTTCCTATTGCAGTCACAATAGTATTTTTTTGCTGGAGGCATGGCTGGCTGAAGAGAGATAGCGGGACTGGAAGGTATGGAAAGCAAGCAGAGCAGATGTTGCTTCGCATGCTGTCCGTACTTTGCAGAGCCGCAGGTCGAAGTTGTAGGTTGAACTTCCTAGATAGTACGAGTGGATCTACTACTATTTGTTGGACTGGGTACATTCAAATTCGTACCGTTTTCGTACAACACACGTGACACGTGTCCTGGAAAAATCAGCCAAAATGTGTCTGCACGTGGATATGCCTGGTTCCCCTCTGGATTTGCGTGACTCAGCATGGCTGAGGCTGTTGTGGGTTTTGACTGGGAGTACGCACTTATAATATAATGATACGACATAGACAAGGACAACCTATGATTCTTGCCAATACAAATACAAAATATTAACCGACAAGCTCGCTGCAATATCAAGCTTGGCTATTTTCTTAACGTACCATCTGATTGGTTCGAACTTTCTGCTTCTGCAGTATACTGTGCAATAACAAAATTTCAGTCGGAGCAAGGTCATAAGTTTGCACAGCGAACACCCAGACTCCAAAAGTGATAGCGAGCCTTGTCCATATTCACCCTTACCTTAGGAGCCTGAGAGGGGTGCGTGTCCAATTGGTAACTTACCCTAGTATACTGCTCTACTGATTATTATAAGTCGCTCATTATCCAAGAGATATTGAAGGAGGCTTGCAGGTCTTGAAAATCCGTCGTTTTACAGGCGATAACCCTATCTATTATCACTTCTAATTACACTCCTTACGTGGTAGTCACAGTGCTCTTATCATCGATTCATCCTTCATCAACTTGAAGTGATATCAGAATCACCATGATTAAATATGCAGCAAACTAGAGACAAGTCGTTTATTGTTATATGTTCAATACCTTACTATGAAAACCAAAAGATAATAGCCAAAACAGAGGAAGCTGTTCAATACATTGGATGTCGTGGATATCACGCCTTCTGCGACGTCGCAGCCACTGGGGGCTCGATCCGTTCCACGCCCGCCATTTGCATCCTGCCATAAGGTCAACACCAGTGACATGTCCATCAGTGATCATAAACACTCACAGAGCCTCGTCCTCAATCTCTGTATGGTCAGTGACGCGAAGGTACACCATCGGTGCAGCAAAGATCATGCCAGCGACTGTGAGGCACCACGTTGACAGGAAAATGTTCATGTATCTGAAAACGCCGATTGAGCCCGTTTTGTTTCGCAAAATGGGATGAATAATGAACTTACGGGAGACTAGCACCATCGGCAGCCCAGACGCCTGCTGCACCTGCTGATTGCAGGGACTTGTCTGTGTGGGTTTCTTGATCAGTATCAAACTCGTACTTCCGATTCGAGGTCAAATACGCACAGAAGCCAGCGAACACAGCCAGCTTGGCGGGGTCGTTCGACATTGCACCCATTAGCCAGTATGCATATGTCTGCCACATCGAGTCCAGGAAGCCATAGAAGATCATGAGCCAGACATGGGCGGGGTAGTTCTTGTCCGAGAAATCGATTTTGTAAGCAGTAGCCACAGCTTCTTCAGCCCGGGTATATGTCCTGAGGATAGTATTGATATGAATTTAGAGGTGCAGTACGGTAAGATGGCTTACTTTTGGTAAAAGTATGCCCAGACGTGGACGACAAAAATCATGAAAAACACAAGGACCCAGCCGTAGAAGGCACGGACTCTGCGCCGGACTCTCTTTTGGTCAAGGACAAAGTAACCAATGAAGATGGATCCAAAGATTTGCGATGTCCAGTACATGAAGTTGTTGAGACCCCGAGTACGGATGTTGAATATTGCACCATTGTAATCATTGAATTCTGTACAACTTATCAGCAAGCACGCTGATCCTAAGAAGAAATGCACGAACGCCAGGTGTAGAAGTAATTGCTGGCAATGAACATCGGAAAGAGTAATATGATCCAAGGGTCAGTCTTCAGGGCTACGAACAAGCTGAAGAACTCCGTCTTCCAGGATGGATGGCGGACTGTGTTCACGCGAGTTCCGTCGGTGCGGATCATTTTGTTTGGATCCACCATGAACAGTGGGAGAAATACGCCAATGAGAGTCAAAATCAAGAAACCAACCTAATGAACCGTCAATTTCTGTTAACAATAGCGGATCTAATGACTTACGTATGTTCCATTGCCAACTAGACACAACGAAATTGGTCAGTTCTGCACTGGAATAGGAATACCGTACCCCTTACCGCTATTTGCCTTATGGTAGAGAATATGAGCGTTCACCCATTCACAAATGTAACACTTTACCCACCTCACTCTTGAAATTGTTTCCAAACGCGACAGCAGACCCGACAACCCCTCCAAGGTTGAAGATGGCCCAAAAGATACTGATGAACATGCCCTTCTGAGCCTCAGTGGGGTATGACATCATTAACGAGCCCTGCGCGGTCCAAAGAAAAGCTGCACAGACGCCAAGGATGGCACCGGCTGTGACAACAAAGGCACCCGCACCAGGATGAATGTTGACAGCGCTAAAGAGCGATGTTTGAAAATAATTATAGATTGAACGACAAAACATCTTACAGGAAGGAAGCAATATACAACGAGTAGCCCCAGGTGCCAAGCATTAGAGTTAGTCGAGAACCAAGTACATTGTTAATGGAACTGGAACCAACCACAACAGTCACTATAGATAAAGTGACAGTGGTGACTCTGACTTACCCCGAAAAGAACCCGAAAAACGCAAAGGTCGCGTACAAGGTAGCGTTGGAATTGGCCTGGTCCGTACTGTTGACTTGACCACCACCCCCAAGACCAGTAAGCGCGTTGAACATGCCGGGGCACATGAAACACACAAATCCCAACATCGAAACCTGGGTGATGGGATGTTGGTAGTATCCCCTCCATCCAGCTGGACGTTCAAAGACTTCTGCATGATGAGAACCAGAGTCCTCGCTGCTGCCACTGCCAAGTTTCTCGACTTCTGCTTGTGCGTCAGACATAGTGGCTCGAAGTCTGAAAATGGGGCTGATCACGAGGACCAATTATCGGACCACTGATTCTTTATAACGTAGCGTTATCATCAAGCGCTCATGTGGATTGAAGACCATGCGACACGCGGCGTAATGAGACCCGTGGCAAAGGCAATTGGAAGAAACGGCGGCTCGCGCTAAAATAAGCAATGCCGGCGAGGGAAAGCAAAACAAGAAAGGAACTGCACATACTTAGTGCACCCCGCGTTGGCCGAGAGGACAGCCCTGCGGCGTGTACAGGTAATGCAGCAGCTCTAAATTGTGCATGAGCAGACGCGAAATGAATCGACGATTTCATTAAAACGATATAATGAAAAATTGAAGAGATGTGAGCGCACTGAAGCCCTAGGAAGCCGCCTACTACCCCAAAAGGGTACACCGGCCGGTATACCCAATGCCGATATATCGGCACACCAAAAACTACTAGTATGACAAGAATGCAGAACATGCACAAGTCTCTCATGCATGTCATTCCGAATGCGATTCTGTACCGTCTCGTGCTCATTCCCAGCACATGGTGCATGGTGAATGAGCTGTCGAGACTTGTAACTCTGAGTCCAAAAGTAGCACGTAACCTGTACGATTGTACATTTTGTGTTGAATGCTTCTCAAAATCAATTTGCAATCACCAAGACCATAGTCCATATAGTAACCAGGTATGAAACATTGAAATCAAATACATGTCCCATGTGTGCGCACTAAATCCACCGTTCAACATCACTTGACACTTTCACGAGCTTGGGATGATTCTCACATTGGGTCGATTCAGACGGAGTAAACCAGTAAGAAAAGAGGCAAGGCAACTGACGATGCCTCATCGTCAATCTCCGTGTAGTCCTTTACGCGGAAATAGATCAAAGGAAAGGCGAACATCATTTCAGCAGTAAACTAGAACCTAAAGCAGAAATGAATATAACAATGTTTGACATCCTTCTGGAAAGGAACGAAGCTTACGTCGAGCCACTAAACGATAGCAGATACAGAAGACTGGAAGCACTCGTCGGAGAAAGTAGAACGTCATTAGAACAGGAGCTATTACGTGGCTTCAATAGGACAACTCACAGAAGCCAGCGAACACGGCAAGCTTTGCGAGGTACCCATCAGCCAGTAGTTGTTCGCCACATAGAGTCAGGTAGACCGTAGAAAATCATGTGCAGGGTAATCGGGGTCATTGAGATCTATCTTGACAGCAGGAGGTTCTGAGGAGCTCTAGCGCGAGTATAGGTCTTTTGAAATTAACTTTTATATCTGCCAAGAGGTAGATAGCGACTACAATAGACCAGTGGAGGAACGCACGCAAACGCTTCAAAGTGACAGATGGAGAATGAGTCAAAGATCCGAGCAGTTCAATACACCCGGTTGTTGAAGCTACGGGTGCAGATGTTGATCAAGGCACCGCTATAATCCTTGAATTCTGAAAATAAAAATCCATCGAGCTCCTGCAACGTTATTTTCACTGTGATGCTT